CTTATATATGTCATAATATTATTCATATTGATTTAAAAGCAATGCTGATATTTAAGAGGACCAGGATCAAGATTCAATATCTTTGAAACCTAGCCAAATTACATCTATTGAACAAATAGTATGTGTTTAAAGCTAAGTTTGTTTTATGCCATAAATATGAATTATATTTATTGTTTAGCAGAATAATCTTGAAGAGACAATTCCTTGCTTTCCTTGACTTTGTGAAATGACCTAGAATTAAATTCTCAACAGATTTCATTCACATTAAAATGTGAGGAACATGTAACCTTCCATCTAGCTCTTGCTGAACTGTTGTCACTACTAGCCTAATAGCTGATGAAGCCTATATTCCAAGTCCAAATATGTAGACTTCAACTTGGAATGTTCTCAGTATCGGCCATTATGCCTGGAGAATTAGAAGAGTTGAAATTCATGGATCCGAAAGTTGCTAAGATTGGAAAGTGCTATCCTCACAAATCTTTTTTAGTCTGGTTGTATAAACCTAACCTATGTGTATTATATAAAACATTAGAACTAATTTACAAGGAAGTCCTCTTTCAATAAAATATATTGTCAGTATTTGTGAAAATGTGGTTCTTTTTATTATACGAATGTCAACATTGTTTTCTTTTGATGTTTATAGTTTTATTTTGTTTATATAATAATTTGTAGACTGTTTTATTTTCTTCCCAAATGGAATCAGTTAAAATGAGTTGCAAAGGCGCAAATGAGAGTTAGGAACTGATTTCGCAACGACACGACATACGATCTTGGAGCTCCAAGATCGCAGTCGATACTTTTGCCGCGGGATGGTCCTTTTGGACCTAAACCATCCCGAAGAGATGGTGACAGGGAAGAGTACATCTTGCTGATCTCAGGGACATCTCAAAGTCCCTGATTGATCCAGGAAAATCTCTTTTTGCCACCAACAGAAGCGCAGCCATTGAAGCTGCTGAAGTTGGGACAGCTCCGGAATGGGAGGAAAATGGAAAGAGAAAGTATGTCCATCTGGTGAGGAAATCTTATTATTATAAAAGAGACTACCCCCCCCAAAAAAATTAAAGGTAAATTAAATTTGAAAACAGAAGAGCGTATGCGACAAAATTAAGCTACATTAAACAGTGTGTTATCCTTTTTTTTTAAAATGTTTATGGATGGAACTTTTACAAATGTTTCCTATTCTTTAAATTGAGTGGATTAGTTTTTCTTCTACTTTTTATATTCTTTTTTTTAATACCTATGGTTTAAAATCTTTTACCTTATTTTTATAATGCTGGATTGGATGGGTTTTTTTTTGCTCCATTTAAGAATTTTGTTTTCTTTAAGCCTGGAATATAAAGAAAATATAAAAGGAATACAAAGAGGGCTGTAATAACAGAGGGAAAGGAAGTAACACTGCCATTTGGAGGCTGGATGCTTAGAAGGCTTGGAAATATCGTCTTTTCTTTTTTCTCTTTGATCATTTGACTTTTCATTTCAAGGTTCCTCAGCTTGTTTACAGAAAGTGATAGTGAGAAGAGCATGGATTGTCTATACAGGTGCTCTTTGGGAGCTTTATTGGCAGCTGGAGTGGAGTGAAAACAAAGCCTTGTCTTGAAAGATTATAAATGAACTTGCTTTAAATTTAATAAAAAGTTTTGAGTGGCAGAGTGGCAGTGTTTACAAGTTGGAAGAACATGAAAAAGAAACATTAACATTGCAAAAGATTATGTTTGAAATTCAAAAATTATTAGAAGTAACAGAGAAAATTGAGAAGAGATTGAAGAACATAGATCGTAGAACAGTAAAGTTTGATGGAAAAATGTTCATCAAATGAAGAAAGTGGAGTTCAGAGTTCTAAAAACTGAAGGAAAAAATAAACAAAGAGACAAGAAAATTGTTGATACTGACAAGTGAACTGGCATGGTCGGAAATGGAAAGAGTGGAATATGGAAAGGGGAGATAGATGGACTGGAGCTCTACCCCAGATTTCAAAGTATAGAAGAAGAAAAGAGAGAAGAATTGATGGAACTAAGGAGAGAAATTTTGTCAGAAGCACTAGTGATAACCTAAGATAAGCTGATCGAAGAAGCAGATGGAGGGTTTTGAGTTTATACAAGATATGCAATAAGTGAAGAGAAGTCCATACAAAACTAACTAAGGAAATAACCAGAAAACTAATGCCACAAATGGCAAGAGACATATGACTGCACTATTACTGGAAAGACAGGTTGATGTAATGAAAGCTTATTAAAAAAAATTAAGTCAAATTTAGTTAAATTTAGAGATTATGTATAAAATGAAGTGATAATGGATATAGTTAAATAAATGATTAATAATGATTATAATGCATATATATGTATTGGTTTGATAAGAGGAAATTTGATATAAATTGCAAATGGTGACTACGAAAGGAGGTTTAGAAACTCTGTTATTAAATATAACCAATTTTTATTTAGAACATGTTATAAAGATGTAATGTTGTTGGATGATATTGGGAAGAGCTAATGGAATGCCATTATATGGTCTTGCTTTAAATCTGGAATATTTTATATAAAAGGACATGAAAACAATTATAGTCAAATGAAGGTTGAGGTATGATGCTAGTAATATATTTATAAATATATTTGATTTAAAATATATGATTTGATATGAATTGTAGGTGATGACTGTGGAAGAGGTGCATGGAAGGTTTTGTAACCAATCAACACACTTTCTACAATTTGTAATGGAAGATGGTTTTGTGGGGTTTTTTGTGGTTTGTTTGTCTGTGTTTATTCAAAAATAAAAAATTTATAAAAAATGAAGGCGCAAACATAAAAAGTGAATAATTTATTGAACTGAACTAAACTAAACATTACAATAGAAAAAAAAAAACTTAGAGAGCTAAAATCAAGAATCCAGCAATGGCGGCAGCATCTATTTGAAAATAAATATTTGCAGTTAGGAAGGATGAGAAATTTTAGGAGCAGTAAGTTTCGAATAAAATGGGTAATTCTTCCTTAACCATTTTTAATGTTGCCATTAAAATGGCAAATAGTAAATGTTAAGTATTTCTCAAATGAAGAAAAGGAAACATCGGTGATCTTAAAGCCTAGGTAGCTAATCACAAAAAAGATCTTATAATCAGAATTTTCAGATATTGAAGCTACGTTATTTAAAATTCTAAAAGTAACAGTATTACTGTTACATTACCGAGGTAGTGCAGTGGTTAGGGTGCAGGACTGCAGGCCACTTCAGCTCACTGTTATCTGCAGTTCAGAGGTTCTAATCTCACTCAAGGTTGACTCAGCCTTCCATCCTTCTGAGGTGGGTGAAATGAGGACCCAGACTGTGGGGGCGATATGCTGACTCTGTAAACCGCTTAGAGAGGGCTGAAAGCCCTATGAAGCGGTATATAAGTCTAACTGCTATTGCTATTGCTACTTTTTACTGTTTGGCTTCGATTATTATTTTGATGGGGTATCTGCTAGAGTAAAAACATCTTAAGATTTCAATCTTTGCCCATATCAACATTTTAGCATCCCTATTCTACACTGCTTCAGATTTCTGGAAAGCTGTTGAATGTGGAATGCAGTTTAACAGTCTGTAAAATATGTGTAAGATCATACTTATTTCTGATTGCATTGAATCAGAAACACTAGGCAAACCAACCAAAGATAGGCTAAAAAATTTCAAGTTGCAGCTGACATCTAAACATCTAAAAAAAGTCCAAGTCCCAAAAGCTTGCTTTGTGTGAAGAATAATTATTATATGCAAAGATGTTTCCTTGGAAATTCTTAAGCACTGTGAAATATCAGTAATAAAGTATGACAAATTGAAATATTACATGCTTAAACATAAAGCTCTAATTTAGAATGAGATTAAATTCGCTGTAGGCATAATTTAATTTAAATAATTCTTTCAGTGATTGCATTATCAGAATTATCATGAAAGAACTTTTATATGAATTTTGTAGAGAGGTATAATTAACTCTTTTTATAGAGAAAATCTTGTGAACCAGAACAGTTCAAAAGCAAGTACTGTCACTATAAAATGTGATATTGCTAATTTATTTTGGGAAGTACATGCATTATTATTGTATAACTATCTTTCCCAATCTGTGTCCTTTCTGAATGTGCAGTATAGACTTTAAGTCTCAGAATTCTCAGCAATGAGAATTGAATGCAAAGACTCAGAATAAGTTAGCTCATATAGTGGGTAGGCGTTGAGTTATATAACAACATTATCCAGCTACTGGGATGAAGTTGAATGAATAATAATTGACCTTCCACTTCTGAGAACATAAAATCAATGAATGAATAATAATTTACTTTCCATTTCTGGAAACGTAAAATCAAACTGTTATCCTTTGAACCTCTTCAGATTTAATTGAAGGTTATGTTACCAAAAGCTAGAGATAATTTTAGATGTTCTATTAAAGAAAAGTCAAGATAAGGCACAATAATTTTATTGAGTAGATTTAAGATAAGGTACTTTCAGAGACTACAACTTCATTATAATTAAATAATCTTTCCCCCTATAAGAGCTCACTCTAGATTGGCTGAATTCAGTATTTTCTGTTACATGAAAGCAAACATAATCAACCTTAAGAAAAAATGATTAACTTTCATGGTTTGAACATTCCTTCCTTTCCTACCCATTGTTTTCTACATAACATACAACATCCATGATGAATTCTCTATAATTTCTGTATTACTGTTGTGATTTTGAATTGCCTTAATGAAAATGTTATATGTCATAATTATTAACCGTGGAATTGGATGCTAATAGTTATTATTTAACTCATGTTATGGAGATTTTTTTGTTTGCTTATTGCTGTCACTTTATAACTTGTTGAGAGTCAGCATAAGCTGGTCTAGAAGTGTAATAAATAATAAATACATTTAAAATTATTTGATTTCATCGGAAAGGGAGTAAACTGGCCAAGGAAGCACTGGTTAACTTGGGGAGTTCATTAAAAATGATTAAAAAGGATTACAAATGCCTGGATGAATTCTTCATATCTCTCTTCATTGCAGAAAATCTAGGAGAGGAAGTAATGCTTGAACAGACTTTCCCAGAAAGTAGAACTAAAGAACTGGAACAACCATCCTGATTAGATGACCTTAGTAGATATGACTGAAGAACTCACTAGCCTGAAAAGCATACTAAATCAGAGATTGCTTAACTACCATGTCTGTATTCATAGAGAACATCAAGTCATACACTGGAATGGCTAAGTTCAGATGCTGCACTGTGTCAGAAACAAGTCACATTGTAGGTCAGATGGTATCCATTAAGAATTAAGAATCCAAATGTGAATTTGCTTAGCTTCTGACCAAAAAGAGAGCATACTGTCTTTCCTTTATGCTACAGTAACATTCCTTGAAAAGCTTACATAAAGCAAGATCAATAGAAAATGAAGGGTTGTGGGTAATGGATTCGAATGTTGTAACCTATGTACATTGACTGATATGTTTATAATTGTAGAGTCTTTTTCTTAAACATTACATTTTTCAAACATTTTTCTTCATTGACACATGCTCTTTATATAGTGAAAGCATTTTTGTCATCTTTTCTGTAGCTGTATTTCTAATGTGCATGATTATTATGACAAAGAGGTAGAATGCATCATGAATAATATCCACATTCTTTATTATTGTTGTCCACATAATAAACAATTCTAGCTGATTTGCTGAAGTTAAAAGCTTGTTCTAAGGCTCTGGATCCTTCACTCACTTTAGTCCAACTAGGCTTCTAGTATTACATAAGTCATTTTCCTTCTCATTTTGAGTAAGAGGGTTAGATTCAACTTTTCATGATAAAGTTTCCATAGTAAGAGGAGCAGTTATTGCAGATGAAAAACTGGGTGAAAGATATGAGCAGGCCTGAGGAGAGGGGTGTGCAGCCGGTACATTGTTTTGGGCCCATGGAGCTCAAAGGGGAATCACGAAGAGGAATTTAAAAAAATTACAAAACCAATTTTTTAAAAGCAAAACAATATTGGATATATACTTCATACTCTACACTTTGTGTCTACAGCAAAACCGCCTTGCAGCCTTCTTTGACATAACCTTTATTAATCTGAAACTAGTGAACAGTTATTTATGTAATTTATTGAATTTTAATTTCATTACTTATTAATTTAAGTTTGCAAGTTCAGTTTCATTTTGTCTATGAATATATTTTAGATTTCCTTTCCTTTTATGAATACTTATGAAATGTCATCTCAAAAATGCAAGAAAAAACAGAAAAATGTGTGCATGTATAGACGAGGGGACCCATATTAGCCTTGTTCCAGCACTTAATAATCGTCTCGGCGGCCTGGATATGAAACTAGGACAATTTTATAATACATTTGAAAGATGTGAGTGAGGACAGAAAAAGGGGTTGGCAAGAAAATATTCAAGTAATTTTGGCAGAAAGAAGTCTTGATATATTTCTAGATCTTTGATGCAAATTGATTTCACTGGTGTGAATCATATAATAAAAGTGTTTTTTTTCATGTTAAGCAAATTCTGGGACAAAAAGTGATTAATTTTTTCATGTTGAGCAAATTCGTGTGCAAAAAGTAATTAGTTACATAATGGCAAATTCATATAAAAGAAGAGAAATGAGTCTACAGAAAATGGGGAGAGGGGTAGTTCACTAAGGAACTATAGCCCAACTTTTTTTCAGGCAAGTTGTTTTAAGTTAAAGGTAGTGAAAAACATTATTAATAATAAAATAGGGTTAGATTTGTTCAAAAGAAAAGCCAAATAAATCAATAGACAAATAGATAAAAAGGCTAGCTGTGTTATCAAAGAAAAGACATAGCTATTCTACCACTGTTTTAGAAGTAAGTCTTCTACGAAGAGATTGCAAAACAAAGGATGTTGGGGAAAGACTGAATTTCGTGACAGATAAAAACATAATCAGGGATTTTAAAAATGTATTTTAAATGCATGTAAATTATTGTGTTGTAAAAATTGCACTTTGGCCTATTACAGATTAGCTGATGATTTGGTAAACTATTAGATTTTATTTTTGAAAATTCTAGAGGATGTGACCAGTCACAAGTGCCAGCTCACTGTAAGAATTATCTCTATTTTCATGTATCACTGAAAGAAAACTTTAATAACCTATAGATAAATTAGTCAGACACTGACACCCTGAAGATTCTAGATCAGATAATTAAAGGCTTATTCTTTAAGCACCTTGAAAACAATGTTGTAATTAGATCAGCATGGAATTGTTAGGAACAAATCTTGCCAGGAAGTTAATTCATTTTTTTGATTGGATAATTTCATTAGTAGATTGTGGGAACACTGATGACATAAAATACCTTGACTTCAATAAACAAGCGACAGTAAACAAATACCCAAGACATGATGCTGCTTAGCAAGCTAATTAATGTGTGCTAGATAACATGACAATTAAATAGATGTATAGCTAACTCAAAGATCGTATTTAAAATGGTTCATTAATGGTTTCTCATCAAATCGGAGAGAGAGCTATCAAATTAAGTGACACAAGATTCAGTAATCAGTCTTTTGTTCTTCAATATTTTTAATGACTTGGTTGAAGAGGTAGAGGGTATGCTAATCATATCTGCAGGTAATACAAAATTGAGTAGAATATATAATCCCCAATTATAGGAATAAAATACTAAATGGCAGAAATGCCAAAATACAGAAGTAAATGTCCTGATTGGTTGGAATCAAAAGCTGAAAATAAAAGAAGTGACAGATGGAATTATTTACAGAGGAAACAAAATCAGATATGCAATTTATGTGTGGAGTGTATGTGGCTTGGTAATAGTATCTATGAAAGTGATCTTGGAACAGTTGATTTTAAACCAAATATGAGCCAGCAATATGATTTGGCTGTAAGAAAAATACAAATACTACCTCTTCTCTAATCATACTTATTTCTCTCATATCAAGTCTGATGCTCAGAATTGTACCAGATATAATGTATGTTTCAGTGTTTCTCAGCTATGGCAACCTCAAGATATGTAGACTTCAACTCTCAGAATTCCCCAGCCAGTGTATCTGTGTATGTATCTATCAGAACAATGATAGATTTATTTATTTATATATATATATATATACACATACATACATACATACATACATACATACATACATA